AGTAGGTAATATAATACATAATTTAATACTTTAATTCTAATGTAGACAATCTAGTTTCCTTATGGCATCGAGCATTTCTTTCTTTATTGAAACAAAGAGTTTCCTTTTTCTTGTATAGAAGCACTATTTCTATGGATTGTCAGTATGCATATGTGAGCACCATGTTAGACTTAAGATCTTTATTATTTTTATTTTAGTAAGTTATTAGTATAATGCGTCAAGCGTGTCTTTGCATTGTTCTTACATATGCGTACAGTATTGAAATATGTATCAGAGACATTGTAGAACATACTTTTTTAAAAGAGTAACGAATGGAGTTTCTTGCTCGTTCTTCTCCATTCGAATCTACGTTTTGGAATGAGCACCTAGCTTCACTGACGGACTGACTGACAGACTATTATTTATTTTGTATTTGTTGACGTTTCAAAAGTACTAAACTACGGTTTAATTGAAATAAATGATTTGACTTTGACTTTGAAAAAAAAAAAATGGAGGAGCCGACAGACAGTCGAGGGAACTCCTCAACGGCTTACGATAACTAACTTGATTGGGCTTGATTACTTAGTATTGATGACAACTTTACACCTACATGGCGTGCGTGTAATGGTTAAGTGAACTCAAACTCAAACTCAAAAGCATTTATTTCAATTAAACCATAATTTGGTACTTTTGAAACGTCAACAAATATGAAATAAATAATTATCTGTCAATCAAAGACTACAATACTATATCATGTCGATTCGAGTGAAAAAGAACTAGCAAGAAACTCCATTCGTTACTCTTTTAAACCTCTTCAACGATATAAAGTAATTACCTTGTGTTTGGGCTAAATTAATTTGTATCAATAAGACCTAAATGTGTGAATTTGACATCTATCGAACAACGTACAAACCTGCGAGCTATCATGTTCGCCCGCACTGCCAGCACCCTCCGTTCCCACTCGTCAGATCAGACGTCAGCAAATGTCCTTTAGACATCCTACGCAAAGCTGTACCATTAAGCGTAATAACAGGAAACACTCCACCTGTTCTGTCTCTCCAGGCCTCAAAGACCATAACTTCATTTATATGGGCATATGTTTCACAGACAGTCAGCAGTTTTTTAATGCCACACACCGAGGCAGAGTGCTGCAGCACCATATCGTCGGCATAGCTTTTGTTGTTTACGTTACTTCTGTCTATGTGACACACCCGAGTGCTACTGAGTGCCACAGTCATATCATTCATATACAGGGTGAAAAGGGTTGGCGAGGACATACCCCCCTACGTCACCCCGCATACCAACCTGTATGATTGCGACATGGTTCCCGACCATCGCACGCAGTTGGCCTGACTTTCATACCAGAACTTAAGGATGTTGATAAGCTCCATTGGTAGGCTAGTGTTTTCTAACGTTTTCCATAGAATATCGTAAGAAACAAAGTCAAAAGCTTTCGAAAGATCAAGAAAGCATACGTGAACTGCTGTTTGACGACTCGTGTAGTATTTGACAGCATGATTAACACACAATACCGCACTTTCAGTGGATAGTCCACCGCGAAAACAGAACTGATTATCATGAAGTTCAATGTGTTTGGTCAGCTGTGAGTTTTTATTTTTTTAATAAATAAAAATTGAATTTCTCCACGGACTCCGACGTCCGTGCCTTTGTCATATTACAAGTACATACTTTCTATGGTCAAATATTTTTTTTTATAAAGATCTTACATGCTACGTCTACCACTATACTACACACAATACTTTATGTTGTTACCTAATTATTATAGTCTTATTATCTTAGACTAACCCTACTGAATCAGCCCACCAGCACGATGAGCGAGCCGACTTGTTCCAGCAGAAGGCACCCGTTCACGGGTATGACGTGTAGGCCAGCAATCGGTCCGATCAACCATTTCGTAGGGAACGGAACGACCCAGCCCACAGCGCCACCGACTGTAGAACATTTACGAATGCATGACGTCCCCGCCCACGCGGCAGTAAGCTAATTGCAGTAGTGCTAGTGGTTTTTATTAGTCTTAACACACCAAAACATGTACACTACAACTCTAATCCATTAATTTTTTTTTTTTCTATATCTGGACCTTTTCAGCAGTTTTGCGGCTTTACGAACCGTCCCCACCTAGAAGAGCGCTCACGACCAGCGCATCTCTATTTTTTATTGCCATTTTTAGGTTATAGTCCAGGATTCCCTGTTCACCCTCACCCAGCGCCCGTCTGATTATTTTGCTGATTGCGTCATCATTTATGTCCGTGTAGTAGACACAACTGTCAGTGTGACGCGATATAGCTACCACGGCGTGAGGTACACTGTCGTGTATCCGCTGTTTCCTGTCCGTTGTGTTCACAATCACCACTGCCGCATACGACAGCCCCTGGGCCTCGTGTATTGTGATTACTCGTGACCCCATACCCGATCCGTATCCCTGGTTTTTTAGGGATTCCTTTTCTACCTGAGTGTGTACCAGGTATAACGTGTTTGGAGGAGATTTGGGTATCCGCGACCCTGAGAAGCTTTTTAACTCAAGGGATCTCACTCTTGACTTAGACGAGTGTATGCCACAATACACAATACCAAGAGCATATGCCACATCCATTGGGTTTCTGTGAGTGCAGCTGTGAGTTCAACACGCTATCAAATACTTTCGAAACCACTGTGGCCAGAGAAATAGGCCTGTAGTTGTTCCTATTTGATAAATCAGCTATCTTATTTTTAATGATGGGTACAACAACTGTCCTAATCTCTTCAGGTAGATAAGAATGGCTCAGACAAAGACTAAACAACATAGCCAAGTACTTTCTATTCTTCTATTCTTGCAGTGTCTCATAAGACACTTTCTACTTACTATTACACGGAGTATGATACATGTATATAGCTTAACTTTATGTTATCTTCCGACTTCAAAAAGCCATTTGGTATATGGTATCACGATGTCCTCCTTAGAAAACTTGCTGGAATAGGTTATACACTACACTTTCTTAAATTCTCTTCCACGTATTTTAGAGACAGGCACATATAGGGTCTGTGGCGGGCACTATTCCGAGCCGTATTACACAAGGTCCAGGGTCAGACAAAGCAGTAACTCCTTTACTGTTTATTTGAATAATAATTGACATACCAAGCATAATAAATGGATTGATATTATTTTTTGATAAAAACGGTTAAACATCGTTTTCTGGGTCTCAAACTATCGTCTTACCGAATTTAAGTCAAGAAGATTCAATGATTCTGGATTCAATATATTCAATGGCTAAAAATATTTATACAAACTCTCAACCCCTATTTTATCCCTTTGGGGGTAGAACTGATCAAAATCCTTTCTTAGGGGATGCCTAGGTCATAAAATGTACTTGCATGCCGAATTTCAGCCCGATCTGTCCAGTGGTTTGGGCTGTGCGTCGATAGTTCACTATGTTAGTCAATCAGTCACCTTTGAATTATATAATTATGTATATTTAGATTAGGGGTTGCAACACGATACCGACAGAATCATTGAGTGGAGCTGAGAATTCAAGTTATATATTTCTACGTGACTCGGTTCTGTCGGTCACTCCTATGAGAAACTAAAGTCCAAGTTACCAACAGATAGATAGAACTGGTATGTAGAACCCTAAGGTAATGGTAAGGCTAAGGTATGTCCCCCCAGGCGGGTAAGGCTTAGGTTTGGAAAGCCTACTGCAAGTTTTATGTAATGTCAGTAATATTGAGGACACTTTGCCTTTTCCAACATGGCCACATGCCACGTAATTGTGATATGTAGGCTTGTTTGTAAATTATTGTTTATATTGATTGTAATTAAAATTTTTTGTTTGTAACTTTCACCTATATCTATAGTTACTTCAAATATGAAGATAATATGTTTGTGTGTTGTCAACGTGAAGTGTAAGAGGATTTATTCAAATTGTTAAGTTTGTTAACTGTGAATTAACTTATTGCCAAGTCTTTTACTACTTTCAGTAAGGGTCGAGAGAAATCAAAGATAGAAATCATGATGTACATATATAGGTATTTATTTAAATTAAACAAACAAACAATTGCGATCAAAGTTCCAACATGTGATAAAGTAAAATTAACAAACACCATTTTTTTAAACATTACATTTATTTAATTTTTGTAGGACTTTCTATTTTTATACAAAAGAAAAGCCACTGATGTGGCAACAAAACACATCTCAAGGAAATAAAACCCTGCAAAGAGATTCTATATAACTAAATATTTACACATTCTTCAATCATACAAACTCGTGTAACAATTTGTACCCTTACACATAACTCTAGATATTTACAGACAGGCTAATCACATATTTACACTGACTACATGATATACAAAAATAATTCGTCAAACAAAACGCATGTTCGCTGTTAAACAAGTCGTTAACTTAACTTTAATATCACATTTCGTTTTAACAATACTTGCGTGGCTTCATATGGAAGGCTATACAGGCTGGCTTCGAAGCAAGCTGTAAATTAATCGTTTTATATACTGACATATTGGAAGACATAATATGTACTAGAATAATATAAATCAATGGCAGTTATAGAGTAATATCAGATATATGTTTTCCACAGTTGCGTATAAACAGCGATTCTCCACTACAGAGGTGTTTCGTATAAATCTTTCTATAATACAATCTAGGTTTGTGCAGAAGCCAGCAGGTTGAACTCTACATTTTCAGCTAGGAATATTATTTTGTGAATAAGTCTAAAATCTGTCAAGCAGTACAATATAATGATGTTCCTACTAGCTTCTGAACGTTTACACAAATTCTAAATTTTTGTTTGCACAATGCTGACCAAATAATAGAACATACATTAACATCAATTAGAAATCAGTATACACAATGATGCTATTTGGACACATGTCAGCATTGCAAATTGGTTTCACAAAACCTATTCCTAACACAATATAAGTTCAAAATGTATCAACACTTGGTATATTTGAACTTACATAATACAGACCTATTTGAAAATTTACAAGAAAGAATGAATGAAAATTATAACAATTTACATGATTGAGCACAACCCGGAGAGCTCATTACCTTGGTTGACTGGAGGTTGTATGCCGAACTGGACACCCTGAAGTGCAGGTTTCAATGTGTGCTCTAGTTCAGGCTCCTCACTTGGTGGCAAGGGCTCACTACCAGCACTCACGTCCTCTAGTATTTTTTCTTCTCGGTTCTTAGTCACAAAGGATTTGGAGATGTTGATTCGGATTCCTCCAATGGGTATAGAGGCTGCGGGAATGCTTACTGCATCCAGTTGAAAGTTGCCGTCGATAGATGACTCCACTGTTGGATTTGTGTGGTCTATTCGCGTTGGGATGGTTTCTTCTTCAGCAGTTACTATTGGTTCGTCATCTAATGAAATGGAAAAATCATGTATTAGTTAAATAGCAACAAAATGATTTTCTTTTGTGAATAGAAAAATGAGAGAGTCTAGTTACAGTAATGGGTCACAGGTATTCAATATTTCTTTGCCTCATAGTTCAGAATGTTTGAAGAAGTTGTTAGCAACTGACTTGTATATAAATGAATGTGTAATGTTACTCACCGTGATCGATGGGTTCCTGCTTGACCTTGATCTTGCTGAAATCAATCTCTGCGAGACGGTCTCGTTCAGCTCTTTCAGCAGTAAGCTCGTCATCCGTTTCAGCGTCATCTTCAACGACAACCTCGACCACTGGCTCTGGTAGAAAAACGACGTCATCCTCGTCATCGATCTGGAAAGTTTCAATAGAAATAAATATAGGAAGAAGGTAATGTATGTATGAATAATGTGCATAAAATATGTATGTTTGTGAAGTGGAATATTCAATCGGTTTAATTTGGATGACTACAAATGCTTAGTTGTTGCAATAACACTACCCACTAATAATTCAAATGATGTTAAAGCTTATCGCGAGATTTGCAAAATTAAAAGTGTGTCAAATACTTACTTCAACGGGGTCCAACTCCTTCGGGTCCTCGATGACTTCAACAACAGACTCATTGTCAGACTGCTCTGCAGTCTCATCCACATCTTTCGTCTCAATGCCTTCCTCTTCCACCTTTGCCTCAGATGCGATGTCTTTTACTTTAGGTTCTCCTGCCTTTGTTAGTGACGTTCTGTAGTCTTCGAAGCAGAGTGGATGATAGTAATCATCTTTGTGTTTGATAGCATTCCTGAGGTGCCATTCCTCCTCGTCGTCGTTGAAGAATTGTTGGAACATATCTCCGCAGAGCGCGCAGCAGTGCGAGGTGGACGCCGACGCCGCGGCCGACGGCACCTCCACCGCATCCTCGGCTGATGCCGCGGGCTTACCCCCCGTCTCGAACCAACTCTTTTCTGCAATGGAAAACATTTATGTTAGTAAAATATAAAAAAGCAACTTAATGTAATAATTATTCATTTCAATCATCAACTACATTTGAATAGATACGTTACCTCTCTCCTCCAAGTCTTCGACCTCTTCATACTTCATCCAGTCGGAGCGGTCGTGATGCCAGGGTCGTGAGTGCGCGCGACGCGCCGCGTTCCTATGGCGTCGGTTCTGTCGGAAGTGCCAGTCCAAGTGTTGCGAGTATCGCAACGTGTGCACGAGCGGGAACCGAATCGCACACCCTGAACACTGCATCCCGTCGTACAACTTAGCCACCAGTCCTGGTTGTTTACTAAAAAGAAAACAAAGCATTTAGTATCTTTATACAACTTCACAGTATGGAACTTATCAGTGACAAGGAATAAAATACTTACACTCTTAATGTCTCGGGATTCATCAAATCTACTTTGTGAATGATATTCTCATTTTCCTTTGGTCTATGCTTAACTTCTGCAGGTTTATTTTTCGATTTTTCTTGAGGCTCTGGCTGGGTAGAGGTCGGCACTTGCACAATACCAGTCGCCACTAGCTTAGCGAAAAGGTCGTTGACATTAATGTTGCCTAATATTGGCAGTACTGGAGCTGGTTTCTCTTTCATGGGTGTCTCAAGTCCAGGGATCTTATTGGTTGGGTCTGTATTGGAGAATAGAGGATTGGCCATGCTGTACTCCGAGCCGGGGGCGGGCACAGTACTGGACGGCATGACGCTCGCTAACATGTCGAGACCTAGACTCTCAGGGTTCGGTTCAGAGCTGGGCGTCTTCACCGGACGTGAAATGGGTTGTTGTTCGCTTCGTTTGTAAGGTGGTAGCGGACACTGTTCTTGACACATACCAATTTTGGGTGTAAATAGAGGAGGCATCGCCATACGAGGGTCAAAAAAGGGTCTAACGGCCCTCTTATCAAACTTGCCGGCTCGGAAGTATGGTGGCATTGGACCTCGGAATCGTTTAGGACCGAATTCTTCACCTGCTCGTGGTCTTGGTCCACGACAAGGCATTTGTTTCTGATAAGGGTAAAACATTGGCCTCATGGGCGGGATGGGAAGCAAACCATTTGTCTTCATATCAAGGGCTTCAGCATCGTATCGCATGCCCATGTCACCAAATCGGTTTCGTTCATTAGGCGACAATTTCGGGCTTGGAACTTTGTTGTTTTTCTGTTTGGCCTCCTTCAGCTCGAGTTTCTCATCAAGTTGAAGAATTTGGTTCATTAGTTTGTTGAATGGGTTATTGTCCAATTGCCCATCTATAAGGTGTTCCTTTGCTTGAGACATTATACGCTTACGTTTAGCGGGCACGGCTTCGCCGTCTTGCTTGGTTTCTGCCCGTGTTATTTTAGGAATCCTTGGCATTTTTCTGATTGTCTTTGGGTCATAAGCAGGCATCTGATTGCACTCCGCTTCAGGTTCAGTATCGGTATGGTATAGTTCTTCGGACCTCCGTTTCCGTTGCTCGTGAGAACGAGTACGGCGCGCGTCGCAGCGTGAGTCAAAGACGTTGGTTGGTGTCACGACGGCGACAGGCGGTGAGGACGTGGCGGGTACAGTGCTGGCGGGTTGCTGTAGACGCGCCAGTCGCGGGTGGCGCCGCTGCCAGGCGCTAACAGGGGCGATACTCTTAGATACCGGCTGCAACAAAACAAATTATGTTATCAAACGATGTCAACAGAATACTAAATGCTAAAAGAACGTGCAGAGCTGTCGCACAAACAGCGTCAATGTACTGAAAAACTTACCGGTCCGAGCCGCTGATCGGCGGCCGCAGGCGCAAGAGTAGGCGTGGCCATGTTGGCGGCGTTTACATTCGTGGGGGCTGTGCGCGGTACCTGGAACAATGCTGCGATTAGTACTGCGACCCATAAACTATTTTTGCAATTTTTATAAGTTATTGGCTCTATTATTAAGATAAACACCATATTTAATTGAATCTAGATCTAAGCCGCTTGGAGGGTGTTACACATCTCCACACATCACTATGTTATAGGCTTGTCATTGTGGCACAGACTTCTTACCTATCAGTATGTCGGTGACCTATTAGTAAGTAGGTAAGTATATTTGACTGATAAAAGTTACATTTTGCTTTTTAATTTTTAGTTTTTACCTTTTGTTTGTTTCTAGTTCTTAATTCTTGAAGTCGGCTTCTTATGTAAGTGGTTTCAGTGTTCCCGTAAAAATACGGGTACGCTAAAGTAAATAATTAATAATTTTAATATAATAAATTAATATTATTAATAATTACAAATATTCATTAGTAATTACGATGCGGTGCGACGCGGCGGTTTTGTCCTATGTACATGCGAATCGTTTCATTATAACCAAACAAAAACACGACAGCATCGCATTTGATTATGACAATTCACGCGAAAATATCAAACCAACTGATCACGTCCGCGTCGTTTTGCGCAGCTACGGGCGTATTGTCACGTAGGACACTTTAATAGCTTTCGACACGACGTAGCGTTACCAGCCGCGTCGCACAGCTACGAAGCGTCATACGTGACAATACGCCCGTAGGATGCTAGGTACTTGAATATAGATTTTTTATACTTTTTGTCTTAAAGTTTATCGAAAAAATATTAGGATAGCATAATTATGCAAGACGATCTTGCGTTGAATCCTCAGTAATGTGATTCGGGGACAAGCGATAAATACCAATACGTTTGTTAATTTGGTGAAATATCAAAGAAACACGTGAGAACATAACAACATCATACCCCTTGTTTCACGAGGGTGAAACAGAGTTGAATGTATTAAAACACTGGACTACCACAGAGTCTAGTGTAAGAAATAATTGTCAGTAGAGTACATGAGCTTAAAGTAAAAGTTGTAAAATCTCAATAACCCTTTGACTAATCCGGGTAGCGAACCCAATAATACCTAAATGTGAAATAAAACAAAAACTAGTCAGTTTGAAACACTTACCAAATTATAAACAACGCTGTTACAGTAATATATTGGCACGTATTGCGGGTGTGAATTATCAGGATACATTTTTGAAAAAGTCCGCACAAACACAAACTAACTTACAAGAACTCACGATACTACAGGGTAAGTAACGGGTACAAGTCAAGTAGCAAGTAGCGATCGGCACGGGATGTATACCGAAACTGAATGTACTAGGTCAGGGATGATCAGACGCACCTGAGATAATTCGGACAATTAGGGGTGGGGGTCCAATCAGGACGTCGTAAAAAGTGGGCGGAGCTCAACAAACTAAATGACATGTGTATGTGGTATTAGTTTGTGACATTGTGGACCACCTTTATGTGGACAGTATAGAAGAAGGTATATACTGCGATATCA